CCCCAAAACCCCAAAACCCCAAAACCCCAGAGCCCAATTTGTTATAAAACAATTAAATAATAACGGAAGAAAAGATAAAGATTAACCTTGTAGGTCAGAAATTGATTCTTGCAAACTTAAAGTTATACATGGGCTATTGGCCACTCATCTATTTATGGGCAGCTTCCTCGATTTACTGGTGATGGAGAAGAAGCTTACAAGTAGGCTCTCTTCCCTTAATTTCTCACAGGGATTTCCCAGATATCCTTCTGCAAGTTCAGATGTTTGTCGTAAGTTACTCTGCTCATCTTTAGAAACTTACCTTGAGCCTGTTGAGAACTGTGTTCTTCATCAAAGTCCAGATCCAGACAACTGCACAGCTGCTTACTTCAAGAGCGGTCTTTTTTTCTTTGAAACTTGTGTTGATTGAGTGTTCTATGAAACTCCTAGAGTACGCCCTCTAACTAATGCATAGGTCTATGGATGAGACGACGGGAACACAACACCAGGAGATGGATGAAACGAGTACTGCTAAGAAGAAGGCACTCCTCTCTGCTATTCGATTTATCTCAGCACAACCATCTGTGAAATAAGTTGAGGCAATTGAATAAAGCAGTCAGAAGGTAGCGAAGAATGTGACGATGGCAACCTTATCGATGGAGATGGATGAGCCTCTAACTGAACAGTTGAGCTAGACTATGTCTGTAGTGGAAAAGATGGTCAACTTAGCCAGAGAAACCCTTCTGTTTCAGGAGACGGTCAAAAATACTCTAAAAATGAGAAGAATGTGATGATGGAAACAACTTTGATGGAGACAAATGAACCTCTGATTGTAAAATTGAACCAAATTATGACTGCTCTGCACTTGAAGGTCAGCAAAGTCAATGATCCCCTACATTTGAGGAGATGGCAAGAAACAGTCAGCTATTGGTGAAGAATGTGATTATGGGAATCTAGTGAATTTGGATGACTGAAATCAGAATTGCACCATTGAAACATTCTATAGTTGTACTGGACTAGATAACTAGCTTAGCCAATGAGCTTTAATTCAATATTGAGGAGATGGCAAGAAGCAATCAAACAATTCTGAAGAGTGTGACGATGGAAACAGTTCAAGCGGGGATGGATGAGATCAGTATTGTGAAATTGAGCCCAAAAATACTTGTACAGAGTTGGAAGGAGATATTAGTCTATGTTCTCCTTAATGTGGAAATGGAGTTCGAGACCAAGGAGAAACATGCGATGACTAAAATTCCATGAGTTTGGACGGATGTGATTCTTCCTGCAATATTGAAGAAAATTATATATGAACTAAGGATGTTACACTTGCTAGAGACATTTGAATATCAAAATTCTTACCTCCAATAGTTTCTAAGAATGTCCTGACAGTAGCAACCTCTGAGATAGTTTACACTGTTAATGATTGAGCATAATTTAACTGGAGAAGAAATCTCGATGAGCGTTTCTTCTCCCATTTTTTCATATGACGTAGTCTGGATAGGATCGTTTGAGAAAGATAATCAACTTAAGATCAAATACTCGATAATCCCCAAAATGTTAGGAGGAAATGGAGAGACCTTGCAAGTTACATTAGAAGACTTTAATGCTTTCACTTCTCAAGATAAGATATCAATGCCAAAAGGGGTGCAATATAAATATAAGTTTGGAGAAATTCCTACCTCAGCTACAACAAAAGCAGCAGGTTCTGGTGCTACAATCACATTTTTCCTAACTTTTGTGCTTTCTATTGGTGTGAGTGTGCTGACAGGATCTTCAATGGAGTTAATGTGGAGCTTAACAAATACCTTACAGATAGTATTTATCCTAGGACTTTTGAGGTTGCATTATCCTTCAAATCTCAAAGCAGTGTATTCTTACATAAAATATTCAAAATTTGATAATCCAATAACCAATCAACTCTCAGAGATATCACTAAGTAGTTTTAGCTTTGTATTGTCACCCATTAATGGAGACTTTGAATACCTGGGATTTGGCTCATCTAATATTATAGTCAACTCACTTGACAAGATATTCCTAATATTTCTTCTAGGATTGGTCATCATCCTGGTCTACTGACTCTTTCTGTGCCTCAAGAATAAGAAGAACTGTATCGCTAAAAAGATCACTAAGGTTGATAAGCCATTACGATATGAGTCATCAACAAGATTCATAGTTGAAATTTCGATGAATTTGACAATTTCTATTATGATTAATGTGTTTTATGGATCAAAAGATGGACTTTTTGAAACTCTTTCCCTAATATTTGCAATTCTGCTCTTCTGCTTGCTCATATTTGTCTTTTTGTATGCAACCATTTGGCCAATAATGCATCTTGAGAAGCTTCAAATTTACCCAGATCATTGTGAGAGACATTGCTTTTTGTTCTTGGGGTTAAAGACTCAACATATAAAGTGTGTTCTGTTCTACTCTTATTTCACCCTCAGAAGAATTCTAATTGCTGTAGTTGTGATCGGTATGCAAAACTTTGTGCGCGTCCAATTAATCTGTCTGACGTTACTGTTCTTCTGGATTGCTAAATACCAAGTCACGTACGAGTCATTTAAGTCACAAGCAAGTAACTTTCTCAACAGTGTGAATGAGGTATTTCTGGTAATTTTCTGAATTGCCCTACTCAACTTCATGAGCCCAAATGATGCAAAAAAACTTGAGCTCTTTGGATTCGTCTGCATTGGCATGATTGCTATTCTCTTTATAATTAACTGGGGTCTGATACTTCCTCTGAAAATCATCAGCTCACTCAGAAATTGTATGAAAAAGTGAAGGAAGAAGACACCTGAAGAGAAAGAAAGAGAGAGAATGAAGAAAGTCTTGAAATCTATAGCTGAGGGGAGAAGGCATAGTTCCAATAATATAGTCAGCACATTACATCCAAATCCTAATCCTCAGACTTCTGATAATACATTCCAGAGTCAGCTCAGAGATGTAAGGGTTTACAAATTACCAAGAAGAGCTAATAAGTAATTTCCAGTATGCTCAATCGGATAATCTCCCTCTGGGGTTTTGGGGTTTTGGGGTTTTGGGGTTTTGGGG